AGTAATAGCAGCAGCAGCAGCAGAAACAGTGATAGCAGCAGCAGCAGCAGCAGAAACAGTAACAGCAGCAGCAGCAGCAGAAACAGTAACAGCAGCAGCAGCAGCAGAAACAGTAACAGCAGCAGCACCAGTAGTACCAGCAGTACCATTAGCATTAGAAGCAGTAGTAGTAGCAGTAATAGTAGCAGTAGTAGTAGCAGCAGCAGCAGCAGCAGGAGCAGGAGCGGCAGAAGTACATACATTCTCCATGTTGTAGGAAGTGTCTACTCTGTTTGCACCGCCACCCTGTAGAGTTGTCAGGGTCAGCTGAACGTCCTTCTTTATGCGGACTGGATTGATGGCCGTACCATGGAACACTATGTACCAGGACTTGAGCGTGCCTACACGCAAACAACAAGTGTTCAACACATTACAATTAAGCATGATTAAGTTCACATCACCCGCCCGTCGTTTCTGCACAGATACTGGCGGGGAACTCACACATATGACTAGATGATTTTGCCCAAATTCTCCAGTGTCAGGGTATTAACAGACCACTTTTCGAACTACTTACGGAACGTTGACGAACAAGCGGATGGATGGGGGAGGAAGGGAGTTAAGCGGGTCAGGTAGCAACAGGAGTCGATGATGACGACGCACCGTGGTTGAATGAGTCGCCAACGTTGGTCAGCTCCAGGCTCCACTGCCCCGATGGATTCTCGCTCCAGTAGTGGACGCTGAGGAAGGGCCAGTCCTTGAACTCGCTGAAGCTGTCTCTACGCCGACTGCCCAGTAGCGTAGACTTAGTTCCCATCGGTGAGATGAGCCTGCAGAGCGTGTGTGAAGCTTACAGTCATATACTGCCACTGTATACTACATATACTCTATATATACATAGACTATAGACTATAGTATTATTATTAGATTATACTATTTACTATTAGTAGATTATATATATATATATAGGGGATATTGTGTACACTGTAGTATATACTTAGTAGTACAGTAAACACCCATGCATAAAAGAACCGCTGTATTTTCTGTTTCAGGCTGAAGATGGTCCTTATATATATCTGCGTACATAGATGAGAAAATGCAGCTGAAGCAGGCTTCTTAGAGGTCTTAATTTGGGGCAAATATTGGTTACATTATCTAGGTAAATTAGGCTTTAATTTAGGGTGAAATAATTGAGCGACTAATCTAATTAATCCACTTGCATTAATCTGCATAATATTAGAAATTATATGTCTGTTTAAATTCATTTGAGTTAATTTATTTATCACCTTTAATTTACTTATCATATTAAACACAATGAAAAGTCAAATGCTGTGAAAATTGATTTGACTAATATTAGACAGTACTGGCAATAATTCATTGTCAGCATAACTGCATTACAGTAACATAACACAGCTTAATTTTCGGTATTTTTGTTCATATAAGAACCTGCTTAATTTATCAGGCTGAAGTGGTTCTTATATACTAGGTGCTTTATTGGTCCAATTTCAGCCTGGAGGTTCTTAATCCACAGTTTCTTTTATGCGGGTGTTTACTGTATTACATCACTACAATGAGACATCACCTCCCACTCCACCTCCCCTGCCCCGCCCTCACCTCATGTTCAGGTCGCCGCGGCGATGGAATTCGACGGTAACATGCGTCTGCACGTGTTCTAGGTAGCGCACATGTTGGTCGGCCATCTTGGCGCAGCCATCGACGTCCAGGTGCACTACTAGCGCCCCCTTCGCCGGGATGGTGTGCTGGGTCATGTCCACCTTCGTCTTACAGATGTGTTTCTCGGGAACGGTGGTCCACTGTTCTGCTAGCGCCACCATCGCCCCGGCGTCCATCATGCCATAGCCAAACATGTGACTCACTGCGCGATGTGAAAGATAGAGAGAGATTAACAACGCAGGTGTGGCGTTACGATGAGAGCCCTGCGTGCGTGCGTGCGTGCGTGCGTGCATGCGTGCGTGCGTGCGTCTGTGCATGCGTGCATCTGTGCATGCGTGTGTGCGTTCGTGCATGCGTGTGAATGTTACTGGACATGAGCATTCTAGCATGGGTGGACCATGTAGGGTGTGATTGTGGTGCGATCGTGGTCAAGAGCTAATGACACCTTATAACTAAGGTATTATTAGCTCTCAGTGTAGTGTATGACCTGGGTTTATCATTCAGGGGCATTCTAGGGCCACGTATTGTACATAATGTGCCCGCAGTGATAGGTATTATATATGTATATTGTAGTAGCAGGGTATGATGTGAGTGTGTGGTGGTAATGTCTATTGCATCACGTAGTTATCATCAGAACTCTTCTAAATTCCTAACCAAATGCAACTTACAGTAGAGCTTCACCCCTACCACCACCCCTACCCCTACCACCACCACGACCACCACCACCACCACCACCAACCCACCGTGCGCGAGAACAGATCGTCGCCACGCCGGCGCCACCTACCCTTGCGACCGCTGGCCGTCTCCGTGAACTCTCCATGTTCTAGCAGCGGCGTTGGGTTTGCTGTTATCAGTACGACGTACTGCATGTCTCGCCACGTGATGTCCGGGTTTGCTTCGAGCGCGAGCGCACACAGCCCGGCGGCGAGGGGAGCCGACGCTGACGTGCCCGTGTGACGCTCCGTACACTTATCCTTGAAATCTGTCGTCATCTATGTACCAGAGAGAAAGAGACGATGTCATGTGCCATGCATGCGGAAAGCAGGGGAAGGGAAGGGTAGGGAGGATGAGGAAACAGAAGGGGATAAGCGGGAGGGAGGGAGGGAAGGAAGAGGAAACAGAGGGGGATAAGTGGGAGGGAGGAGGGAGGGGACGAGGAGAAAACAGAGGGGGATAAGCGGGAAGGAGGAGGGAGGGGAGGAGGAGGAAACATAGGGGGATAAGCAAGAGAAAGGCGGGAGGGGAGGAGGAGGAAACAGAGGGGGATAAGCGGGAGGGAGGAGGGAGGGGAGGAGGAGGAAACAGAGGGGGATAAGCGGGAGGGAGGAGGGAGGGGAGGAGGAGGAAACAGGAAGATGCTCGGTGTAACACGACAATGTCACGTGGCCAGCAGGCAGGCGACAGAGGCAGAAGTTGGGGAAGGGAGGGAGAGGGAGGGAGGGAGGGGCAGAGGAGGGAGGGACCGGGGAGGTGCTTGGTGGTGGAGGGTCAGCGGAATATAGGTTGATCTATGTATCTACCTAGCTATCAACAATGTAAATATGATATATATATATATGATACTATATATATATATATCAAGAATACCATAATAGAAACTTTTCTATGGTACTCTTGATATATATACGCATGGCATTGCAATAAATGTATATGTGATAGTATAATTAATTATGCATGAGAATCTGTGCGACCATTGCAAACCACGTTCCATACACGTTTTTGTCAGAGTACATTCCAACAATACCTCGTGCACATACAAAACATCTAGATGTAGATTTGCTGCCGTCAGCTCTTAGGCTGAAAAATACGTACAATGTCCTTGTCAGTGCCTTCCTGCCCACTGCTGTAGGTTGTGGCGAGAGTTGATGTGCATTCTTCCAGGTACCAGGGCTTTCTGCAGCACGGAAAAAACATGACAGACGTTGTTGTCGATAATTAACTCAACAACACGCGCACGCATCTGCCGCAGCAGCGATTAGCTACTGTATACCACAACATGCACGCCCTGGCAGCTAAATATTACGCTCTGCACAGCAATACACGCTATGCATACAAGTTTGCCAGCATCGTAAGTCAATAATAATATAGATTTAGACACTGCCTAAAAGCGGAGCTCCCGATAGATGACTCCACGATAATCCACGATAGGCAACCCGTAAGAAGAGGATAGGCTTATTGTGCAACTTGCTGTATCATCGTCAGTCATACCACGTGACAATGGTGTTACCCATCCTCCCGCCCCTAAGACAACTTTTGTCAAAGGTCGGTTGTGTGGAAGTGTTTACTTCTTGAGATATAAATTTTTCTAGGTGGTACCACAGGATTCCCATGTGTACACGGACGTACGTACGAACGGACGCGCCATCGAAAGTCGATGGGTTACCATAGCCATTGTTTCTTAAGTATGGTACTGCGCTCGCGCAGGCCTTCAGCCTGCCATCAACATGAACACGAACTGGCAGGGCAGACCTGATTAATGGGAGTAGCTTTCCTCTCTAAGGTTGTTTAGCATGAGGCACCTATTCCCATCCTGTGCTTTCCCCGGCACGCTAATAATCAATCCAATCAATCCCCATGAGTACGTTGTAAGAGCATTAGCGCCTTTCTCTATACTAGGCTCTCTAGGCTCTCTAGACTCCATAGGCTCTATAGGCTCTATAGGCTCTCTAGACTCTATAGGCTCTATAGACTCTATAGACTATCTAGGCTCTATAGACTCTCTAGGCTCTATAGACTCTCTAGGCTCTATAGACTCTCTAGGCTCTATAGGATAATTTCTGCGTAAAATTACTGCTTGCTCCCGGTAAACAGACCAAAACGTCGAGATCGACTCACACATTAGCACTGTAGGCTCGCTGGCAATAATTCACTTTACTTGTCATTACTGTGCAAACATCGTATAGGAAGCATCTATCATTATAACATCAGATCACGGATATCAAGCAGAGATAATTCATCATCTCTTAATATAGTTACAATGCCTTGATGATTCGGGACAAACCCATCGCACCGGCTTATCAATTATCTGTAATTAACATCTACTCACAACATGCTAACGGTGCTAATTAATATCGCAAAGCAACTTTTCTGCCTGTAATTAATATCTACCCACATCACGCTAATGATGTGAATCATGATCGTGAAGCTGCCGTTACCTGTTGCGTTGGCTTGAACTACTGATCGACAGCGTGTAGATGCTGTTAGTATAGCCATCGCAGTTACAGTTATCACCATGGAGACCACCATTCCCAGACGCCCACACGAAGATGGAGCCCTTGCCATTGCGTCCCTGCATCAGACAACGCTGTTAACCACTGCAAGCGGTGTTATGTTACAGGCAGCAGAGTGAGAGAGAGAGACAATCACATCAGCATGAGTATTTAGTGACAACCGAGAGAATCATCCGAAGACACGAATAACGTTCATACATGATGTATAAAAGTTTACATTCAAATGAAGTTTCAGAAAAAGAAGGAAATGTAATTTCACAGGATATGTGACCCCTCCCCCCACCACTGTATAACGACCACAGACCATTCAAGATACTAATTATGTTTCCACCCGGCCAACACTGCATCATAGATTGACGAATAAACATTTCATCATTCCTGCATGCGATAAATCTGCCAAAAACAATCGAGCGTCGATGACGACCGCTACGGCCTCCGCCGCGCCGCGTCGATCATCACCAGGTGGCGCTACCTTCTCTGCGCCGCTGATGAAGGCTTGCGTGGCGAGTTTCGCTGGTCCGTCGACGGTGCGTCCGTCATCCTCGGGTCCCCAGCTCGCGCTGTAGATGTCGATGTGCTGCGGGTTGAGGCTGAGAGCGCTGGCTTCTACGTGATCGTTCACATCGCCGTCCAACATGCGCACGCCTGCGTGGTGATGGAGACAAGACTGACCCGGTGAACACACACACACACCCTACTAACCTGCACATTGATGGTGATGCAAGATTGTATAGACACTCATGCGTAGTCACACTTACTATAACTCCTATCCACGTGTCACACACCCATCCCTGTGTAACACACCAACCCCTGTGTAACACACCCATCCCTGTGTAACACACCCACCCCTGTGTAACATACCCATCCCTGTGTAACACACCCATCCCTGTGTAACACACACATCCCTGTGTAACACACCCATCCCTGTGCTTACAACACCCATTCCCTGTGTAAACACGCATCCTGTGTTACACAGCATCCCTGTATACACACCACCCCTGTGTACATTACCTATCCTGTTGCTAACACACATCCCTTGATGTAAACACGCGATCCCTGTATACACACCGCATCCTGTGTAACACACCCACCCGTGTATAAAACACACCCATCCCTGTGTAACACACCCATCCCTGTGTACACACCATCCCTGTGTAACACACCACCCCTGATGTACAGCACCACCCTGTGCTACACACCCATCCCTGTGTACACACCCATCGCTGCGGTAACACACCACCCCTGTAGCTAACACACCCACCCTGTGTAACACACCACCCCTGTGTAACACACCCACCCTGTTAACACACCCATGCCCTGTGTAACACACCCAATCCCTGTGTAACACACCCATCCCTGTGTCAACACCCCACCCCGGGTGTAACCACCCATCCCTGTGTACACACCCATCCCTGCGTAACACACCACCCCTGTGTAACACACCCACCCCTGTTGTACACACCATCCTGTCGCTAACACACCCACCCTGTGGAACACACCCACCCTTGTACACCGATCCCTTGTGTAACACACCATCCTGGTCAACACACCACCCCTGTGTACACACACCACACCTGTGTAACACACCCATCCCGTCCTACAACACCATCCCTGATGTAACACACCCATCCTGTGCTAACACATCCCACCCTTGTGCTAACAACCCAGCCCCTCGCCTGTAACACCCCACCCTGTGTACATACCCTCCCTGTGTGAAACCAACACCCATCCCTGGTGTAACACACCATCCCTGTGTCACACACCAGTCTGTGTAGCCACCACCCATCCCTGTGACTAGGCACACCCACCCCTAGCTTGTAGCACACCCATCCCTGTGTAACAACATCCATGTGTAACAACACCTCAACTGCTGTACCACCCACCCCTGTGTAACAACCATCCCTGTGTTTTCTTAACACACCATCCCTGTGTCAACACACATCACTGTGCTAACACACCCATCCCTGTGTACACAACCATCAACTGTGCTAACACCCCCACCCCTGTGTAGCACACCATTCCACTGTGTTAACACACCCATCCCTGTGTACCACACCCATCCCTGTGCTACACACCCATCCCTGTGTAACCACCCTCCCTGTGATACCACCCACCACCTGTGTAACACACAATCCCTGTGAATAACACACCCATCCCTGTTGTACCCACCTCCTGCATGTAAGCACCCCATCCCTGTGTAACAACACCCATCCCTGTGTAAACAACGCATACACATGGTGTACCACACCCACCTGCTATAACACACTCCATCCCTGTGTTAACACCCACCCCTCGCTGTAACACACCCACCCTGCTGTAACACACCCATCCCTAGTGCTAACAACCCATCCCTGCTGTAACACACCCATCCCTGATGTTAAACTATCCCTGTGTTAACACAACCATCCTCCTTGTAACACACCCAACCCCTGCTGTAAACACCACCCCTGTGTAACCACCCACTCCCTGATGTCCACATGTGTATTCCCTTGTAACCCACCCATCCTATGTAACATCCAATCCTATGTAACACACCATCCCTCGTGTAACCACACCTCCCTGTATAACACACCCCCCCGCCATGTGTACACTACCATCCCTGTGTAAACACACCCACCCTGTGTAAACCCCCACCCGTGAACACCACCCACCCTGCTGTACACACCCATCCTGTTGTAAACACCTCCCTGGTACACCACCATCCCCTGTGCTAACAGCACCTCCCTGTGTAACACCACCCATCCCTGTATGAACACACCCGATCCTGTGTACACCACTCCTGTGTACACACCCAACCCCTGTATACACACCCATCCTTGTGTTAACCACCCACCCCTGCTGTAACACACCCACCCCTGTGATAACCCACCATCCCTGTGTAACACACCCACCCCTGTATAACAAACCCTCCTGTGTAACACACGACCATCCCTGCTATAACCACCATCCTGTGTAACCACACCCATCCTGTGTACACACCCACCCCTGCTGTAACCCACCCATCCCTGCTGTACACACCCACCCTGTGTAACACACCCACCCTGCTACTAACACACTCATCCCTGCTGTACACAACCCACCCTGTATAACACACCCTCCTGATGTTAACACACCACCCCTGTGTAACACACCACCCCTGTATAACACACCCATTCCTGTTGTAACACACCCCCTGTATAACACACCCATCCTGTTGTACACACACCATCCCCTGTGTAACACACCACCGCTGTATACACACCCATCCCTGTTACACACACCCATTCCTTGTCGCTACACACCCAACCCTGTATAACACACCATCCCTGTGCTACACACCACCACTGTGAAACACCCACCCCTGTATAAACACAGCCCACCCCTGTATTACACAACCCATCCTGTATAACACAACCCTCCCTTGTGTACACACCATTTCTGTCGTAACCACACCCACCCTGTCTAACACAACCATCCCTGTATACACAGCCATCCCTGTGTAACACACCCATCCCTGTGTAACACACCCATCCCTGTGTAACACACCCATCCCTGTGTAACACACCCATCCCTGTGTAACACACCCATCCCTGTATAACACACCCATCCCTGTGTAACACACCCATCCCTGTGTAACACACCCACCCCTGTGTAACACACCCACCCCTGTGTAACACACCCACCCCTGTGTAACATGTGTATCCCTGTGTAACGCACGCACCTCCTATGCCTGACTTGTAGGCGACGCCCACACCACAGTAGTCATTGCCAGCCATGGAGGCGACCTCGCCGGCACAGCGTGTGCCATGCTTGTTGTCACCGTTGTCCTGAGGGTATGGGTCATCGTCCTTGTCATTGATGTCCGTACTAGCCTTCGGATCCTGCGTGAGTAGCAGGGCAAGCGACAGATGTCAATGACACGGTAAGTGTGAGTAAGCATTTATCACTACAGCACCCTAACACCGATTCTAAGCGCTGCATGTAGAGAAGACAATATTGTGACCTGCAGCGTGAGGGAATGCGTTTTCTTCCGTGTGTGTTTGTGATGTACGACAGAATGTTGTGCAAATTTTCATAGCATATATGAAGCATGTCAAGTACTTTCAAAAATCGTATATACAAAATACATTCAAGTACTATCGATTTCAGATATACCAGTCTTAGAAATAAGTCTAAAAACCCAGTTAGTCTTGATTTTACATTTTGTTATTTCTACTACATAAACTGTAGTAGAACCTCCCCATAAAAATTAGCCAGTCGTGTTCAAAAGTTACCGGTCTCGGAATGGGGGAGGGGCTGCCATTATTAACACCGTATATTGATCACTAGACGCCCACTAAGATTGTTAAATTAATTTGCGATAGCAAATCGCCCGACGTAGATTAACTGCCTAATAATTAATCATAATGTTCAGTCATGTCAATGATCCACCATGTACACGTGTAATATCACACCTGTCACATAAAAGAAAGCATATTACGTGAGAGGAAACGAGCGGCTTACGTAATTGTCGACGAGATCTGGATGGTCCGTCTGAATTCCGTCGTCGAGGATGGAGACGACAACGCCGGCACCAGTGTAGCCCTTCTGCCACGCAGCCATCACGTTCATGTCAAACCCCTTCTCTGCTCCCTTGTTCTGCAAGGCAAAGTTGTCACGCACGATGACAGGACAGCCGCGGGGACGTGTCACATATAGGAGTCGTGTGGGTTTATTCCCGGTTGGCCTACTCCCATTTCGAGAAACGGCAAAATTCCCAGTTGGCGTACACCCATTTCACCTACTCACAATTCGTCTACGCTCAAAATCTACCTCATTCCCATTTCGTCTACGATCGGTTTGTTCAATAACTAATCATTTATAAATAATAAAATATGGTTTTGATTGGCATACAGTCTACAGAAAACATAGGTACCAATAATGAGAACACAACTTGACATAAATAGAAAATATATAAAGCATATATTAAATAATTTTAATATAATAATAAATAAAACTAACTAGTGGTAGATGAAATGACACTATTATGTTACTTATTCTGAGAATAGACGAAAAGAGAGTAGGCAAAATGGGAATATAGCCGATTCTGAGAGTAGACGAAATGGGAGTAGGCGAACTGGGACGTAGACGAAATGGGAGTAGGCGAACTGGGATGTTACCGTCGTGTGAGGCTCTCAGTCACTCTGTGATCAGTCTCAGTAGACTGTACAACACCCTCGCACTACACCACGGGGAGTAGAAATTAATGCAGGGCGGTCAATGCAGAGTCAAACATCCTCGTTTTATTGGACTTCCAACACATTCACATTACTAAAAATCCTATAACGCTATGTACAATACTGCCTCTCAGTGTTTCAGCATCACATCCTATCATTAACTCCTGATTCTATTTCTACAGTTAATGTACAGCAGATAACAGGATAGCCTAGACGCGTTATGCCTCTATTTCACACAGACCACGAATCCCACGAATCGCTACGAATTGATAAATTCGTAGTTGAATCGTAATCAGTTCGTGAAGTTCTTAACTGATTCGTATTTATTCGTAGTAAGTTCTTTCAATTCTTGAGCGATCGGGAATTCGTGGCAAAAGTTTTGAGCTGTTCAAAATTTTGGACACGAACTCTCGATTCCAAAAAATCGTAGTTAATTCGTAACAAATTCGTAGTGCATTCTTAGGCATCGTAACTGATTCTTAATAGATCGTAATAGATCGTAATAGATCATAATAGATTCGTAGGCATTCGTAGGTGCCCCTCCTCTGGATGACTGGTCTAATCCTATTGAGTAGCTCATCAAACATGTGGGGTGGCATTCTTACATAGTTGACAAAGGCATTCTCATCTTCCACCATCTTCTAGCCTTCTAGCTGGTGTCAGCCACGGTCTAACCCACCACCTGGGGGCTCTTCTCCTTCTTAGAAGCAGTCTTCTAGCTTTCAGCAGCTGGTGTTGATACTCTAGTTCCAGGGCCAGTACTAAAGCTGCTCTACGTTTAACATCCATTTTGGAACTGATGCCTTGATCACACCCCCAAAGGTCCAAAATTTCAAGCAGGGGTGAGGGCTATACCTATCTTGAGGGAAAATCCCACAAATTGTCAAGAATAGTCACGAATTCAATTTTAATCGTACCCGATTCGTAGATGCATTCGGCATATTCTTAACTGATTCGTAACTGATTCCTAACGTAGTGAATTCTTGACAATATTTGAGCGATTCGAGCCGAATCCCACGAATATTCGTAACTCTATCGTACCTGCATGTATCGTAACAGAATCGTAGAGCGTCACGATTTGGACAAGAAATTTGCAAAATTCCACGAATCCTCACGAATCCTCAAATTTATCAATTCGTGCTGATTCGTAGGATTCGTGGTCTGTGTGGAATAGAGGCATTACTGATGCTCATGGCGGCTTGTGTCATGCATGATTTTCATCTTCAGTTAGGGAACACCCTCATTTTCACTGCAGTCTGCAGTCCCTCACTTTTTAAGCACAGGAAGTACAATTTTCTTCATCAAAACGTTGAATTGGTTTTCTTTAAAACATACTAGATACATACTTTATATTTTAAAATATGGAAAACAGAAGGAGAGTGAGAGAGTGCCTAAAGTAGTGCTGTACCAACATCCTGTAATACTCTGAAACACTGAGGCACTGATGCACACTGTAATACCCTATGATGGACTATGATGGATGATTCATAGATATATACAACACAGTGTGTATATGTGTTGTATATATCTATGGATGATTGAAACTCTGTAATGTCATTCGAAATGTTGATAAACAATGTGATACTCTGTAAAACTATGAAACAGTCTCATGTAGAATCAGTAAACCTAGTACTGGTGTTTCAGTAACACTTATTATTCGTTAGTGCAACTGGAGCTGAGAGGGTCTATAGCTGCGTTCACACGATATACACGGCCTCGCTGGTTCCGTACTTATCTGGTGCTGAATTCGGCTGAAATACCGTGCTAAGACAACCCGGAGTGTTCACACGAGAATCGAGGCTTAGCTGGCTAGGTATAAGATAGACTGGTACCCTGTAGACAGTTCCACACGCTACACTAACGTCGTGTAGCGAACG